GTATACTTCACGTATGTATCTTCAAATATTTAAAAGGAACTATTATAACATTCATTAAAGATATCAAGGAAGATGGCAAACACTAGAGCTCAATCGACAAATCAAGAATACCGTAGATTCAACGATGGCGAGCGTACCAGCGTAAACGATATGGATTACAAGGAATAGGGAGTGTCGGGACGAACGTAAAGATACGGAGGAAGGGCTCCAACGAAGCGTCGAACAATTTTACACAGTTAATCTTGGTACGTCGCATCGTATCTATCATATACTGAACAACACGCTCTACTTCCTATGAATATGTTCTCTGAAAGATTAAAAAGAAAGAAAAAAAAAAGAAGAAGAAGAAGAATCCGAAAAATGTTTCAAGAAGACAAATTATTAGGTATAAAACGAAATGGTTCTTCGAATAACGATAACGTCGAGTATACGTTCTTTTGAAAAGATTAAACTTGTAAATTGGAAGTTGTATTTCCTTGGCACCTAAGCATACTCATCCCGCACATTCGAAAACATATCCTATACATTTGGAACATCAGTCAACACAATGGACCAATTGTTCGCTGGGTAACAAGCGTTCGCTTCGTTATGGTATACAATTGAAACGGGCAGCCACGTGTCGTAGTACGTGCTTTCCACTCTGACTGAGCTAACCGTGCAATTTGTGTGAAAGTACCGGTAACACGACGATTGAAATCGTTACCAGCGATACAAGATTCTTTTAACGATCACTCCATTTTAATTTATTTACAGTTTTCAAGCAAGACTTTCCGAAGGGAACTTTATTTTTTTAAATATAGGACTATTATTATTATACGATTACATTATCTAAACAATTAGTTTAATGTATAAGAAGGCAAATCTTAATAACATATCCTACGAATTTCGTAGAGTTCATTCTGTCTGGATGTATTTCATTGTCTATATTATTAATATGTAATATTAATGTAACATGATCCATGATGGAGATACCCTATACCCAGTTTCCCTATCCATATCTCTTCTATATCCCTTCGTTTCTATCCTATAAAAGAATGTATTATTGTTAGTGTAAGCGCGCGGTATTTCCCTTTATACGACGAAAACAGAGGGATATTCAAAAGATGTATGAAAGGGAAACTCGACAAACTGGTGGAAGTATCCACACCATGAGCTGATTAATGTATCCGATTGTACATACAATGAGCGGCATGAATCTGCATACGAGTATACAACATAAGAAAACGCTTGTACGAAAAGCAAATATCCAAAATATCGGTCGATGGAAACGGTGATTACAGAAATAATACTGAAGTCTGGTATATGTAAACTCAGTGGAAATGGCGTTGCGTGATCGGAAGGAAAAACAACATTGTTGCAAGTTCGCTATCGCGTAATTCTCATTTAATATTGTATTAATCTTAAGAGGAAATGATTCATGTGGTAAACGTATACATACATACATATATAAACGGAGAAGGCATTGAGTAGCTAATGAAACTTTCCAATTCAACGTTCACGCTGATGGTTGACGCCCTTTCTTTCTACCATCTTCAGACGGTCTCTCTTTCGTAACGCTATTGCCAATTCCCTTCCTTTACAACGACCACACACAAATTAATATACGCCTTTCCTTAAAGCGTAGGTTGTAACTTGAATCTGATCCACCTTCATTCGAACAGTCAAAAAAATCCTTGTCTTCAGCTCGACATCGAAGATAAACAAACGTTATCACACCGTGTTATCATTTAGTTTACGCCATACCGATAACGTCTTAATTTCTATATTCGATGTATTATTATCAAGAAAGACGATTATAAATAGATAAAAAGAATGTTTATTGTAAATATAAAAGAAGAATAGAGAAAGATATATATACATACATATATATATATATATATATATAGAGAGAGAGAGAGAGAGAGAAAGAGAGTAGCACGGTTAGACGAAGTAATTAAATTAGATGATCTTTTATTTTATATGATGTAGATAATTAATTTTGTTGCTATTCTCAGTATCGATTAGGAAAAACGTTTACAATTTCACGTTGAATCTATGATTTTTCAGAGACGTATCGATAAAGAAAAACTTGTAATTTTCATTAAAGGAAGAACAAAATACGAAATGTAATAAAGTTTTTATTTATGCATAAACAAAGCGAACAAGTAAGAACTCGTCCGAGCGACGGTAAATCGAGGCACCGTTTATTTTACAAACACCAACGTACTTATTACTCCCCGACGTTATCTGTAAATTATACTCAGTTAGTCGATAAGAATAGTAATAATCAGGCAGTAAGAGACGACGATCGTGTCTACTAGAAAGAAATAATATACAAAAGCGGAAGAATATCTACCTTGTAAGAGATTAAAGACAAATAAAAATGATGATAATTTCATTTTTCATGAGTATTCCAAGTTCGTTTAAAACGAAAATATTCCACTGAAGATCGACCAGTTTAGAATTAACGATTTGTTCGATCTCGAATGATCTTGAGAGTAAAAAGGTCGACTCACTGTCGCTTCGATCGAGTAGGACCGCATTGGCGTGCGAGGTGGCGCGAACTGGTGCGACCTGACCTAGCTCCACTAGGTACGTCCATGTATTATACCCTGAGGCTTGCTCACCTTCCGTCACGACTCTTCATAGCTCTTGCAGGTTCTCTTTTAGATTTGTTGACTTCCTGCGCGCACTCACACATTCGCGAACCTGTTGGTTGAGCTATTCTTTGCGATCGATAGTTCGAAGAAGAGCGAAAACGAGCGAGAGAGAGAGAGAGAGAGAGAGAAGAAAAGAGAAAGAGGGACCACCAGAAATGATAGCCCGGTTTACCGCGATAGACGCGTGGGTAGATCTCTGACGTCACGACAAAACAGTCCTCTCTCTCTCTCTCTCTCTCTCACTCTCTCTCTCTCTCTCTGTGAGATCAAGGTCAGCGAGGTGCCACTGAAAACTCGATTGAGAGACAAAAAGACATAAAAAAAATGACGACAACATCTAAGCGGTTTCGAGATTATTTCTAAATGAGAACGAGAATGAGAATTTTTCTTCTCGATAAGAGTGTATTGCTTCTAAAGAATTTATTTCAAAGAAGCAAATTTATATGTTACTGAATGACTTATCTCAAGAATTAGAATAAGACGAAGAATAAATAACGATGAAAGGATTCGACGCAAAATGCATGGAATTGATAAAAAAAAAGTGGTCTCGACCGATCGCACCTTGGTCAGATACCAAGGTCGACCAGAATAGTTCTCGACACGAAGGAGGACAGGTACCCGTTCTTCGGGGAAGTAGGTACAGAGAACGCGGCTAGGAGCAATGTCGTGCTTTTATTGGCCATTTTCCTCGATATGAATGGCAGACCTATACCGTGGTGAACGTTTACATTCGTGGGTGAAAGGAACGATACTAGATCCGTGCTTGTTCGAGCGTAAAATCCACGATACCTAAACATTATTTTCTTTGCGATGAAAAAACAACGAGTAGACTTTGAAATGCAATGACGAACGACGACGACAATTCGATATTAAATCATTTGATATTTGTATTTCGCATTTCGTATTTCGTATTTCCACTTCAACCGTTCGTGACCTATATTTCTTTCCGATCTGAAAATAAATCAACGCACTCGATTTATATCGGAGCATTGACTAATATACAAAATGATAGTCGGTAAACATATTATTACAAAGAAGATTTTATTATGATATTGCACTTTAATGAAATCATAATACGTTGTAAAAGGATAGAAAAGTTTAAGAAACTCTTGAGAAATACTTAAAATCATTCCGCTATTATTGCCGTCAAATTGAAAATATCGATCGCACCCTAAGATTATCACGAAAGATATGTCGAATCGATTTACTCTTTATGTAACGCCAAGTTTAAATGGTCGAGAAGCCAGTTGAGAATATAATGAAAACGATTGGAATGGTAAGAGATAAAGGGTGAAAATCAAAACGTGTTACGAAACGAAGGAGGAAGCGTGAAACGAGCAATGGGTAACCATAAAACGAGGTACTTGGCCCTCGCGCCCAAAACCGTGACAAAGAGAAGCACGCGACATCCGGTTCAACGCATACTTTTTCTTCTCTATACGCTTGAGGCACCGTTGTTTCTAGTCTACGTTACTATTTAAAAATAAAACAAATAGATTCACGAATCTCTGTCTGTCTGCCTGTCTCTCTTTCTCTCTCTCTCTCTCTCTCTCTCTTCGTTATTGAAAACGAGGTAATAGGTTAATTACTACCGTCTATTTAGTTTATTAAGTAAGTCAGGGAAATAAATAAAATCAAAACTTGTGATAACAAAATCAAGAGTGACCTAATATTAATCGAATACAAGTCTAAATCGTTATAAAATGTTACAAATTACAATGCTGTTTTCGACAAAGTACATACTTTACCTAGATATGAAAAATACTCCTGAAATATAACTAGATCGATAGATAAATTTAACTAATCGATTTGTTCCATTCAACATAATTTTTATCATTGTTATTAAATGAGACCAGGATTAGTTCCTTTTGAAGGAAAGTTCTCTCGTGTTCTATCATTAAACTTTGAATATCAAAATAATGAAAAGAAAATAAAAGGATAAAAACTATAACTTTTCGATGAGCCTAACGACTGAATCGATTCATGATCGAGTGAAATAAGCAACGGATCGGTGTCCTTTTCAAAAAGGAGGATTACTTGAAAAGATCGTCAAAGGAATTTGTGAAGGCACGAAGAGAGCCGATACCTGTCGGCAGCGGAGGGCGCGTTCACACCAGAATCGATAACCATGAGAGAAAGAGAGAGAGAGAGAGAGAGAGAGAGAGAGAGAGAGAGAACGACACCTCGCAAGTGGGTGGTGATGAAGCGACGAGGGTGGTGCTGCCGGCTAGGCGAATTCTCAAAAGTGACAGAGATATGATGAATTGTACAAAGAAGAAGATTCATTCACTAAGACGTTTTTTCTCTAATAACGTTAAAGAAATAAAACTATTAAATTACGATTGAGTAGCATTAACTCACCTGTGTAAGGACTCACTCGCGCGCTGAAACCTCGTGGTGTTGTCGTAGTAGATCCGATCTCGACGCACTCGAAGGAGAAAGAGTGGAATGAAAACAGGTAAAACGAAGTGGAACGTGAAGAAAAGAAGGAGTTTGAATGAAAAAGAAAAATGGAAAAATGGGAAAAAAAGAAGAGATAGGAAGAGGTTCGATCGAATAGATAGATTGATCCAAAATCGAAGAAGAGAGAACGAAAAAGGAGAGAGAGAAAGGGGAAGACTACAGGACACGCGCGAGGTTCTATCGAAGCGGCATTTTCACTGATGAACGTGAGAGAGAGAAAGGTGGGGAGAGAGAGAAACAGAAAGAGAAAAGAGAAAGAAAAAGAGAGAGAAAGAGAGAGAGAGAGAGAGAGAGAGAGAGAGAGAGAGAGCGGAGAGGGCACGACAACGCCGCGCAAAGTCCTCCTCCTCCTCCTCCTCCAGCTCCTCTTTCGCGGTCTCTCTCGTCAAAGAGAGTAGTAGACTAGCGCTTCGTTCTTGTAGGGATGCCGAGTCAACTCACGAAGGCAACTCTCGCGCTCTCTCGGTCGCTATCGGTCTCAAAAGCACGGGCCGAGTGCGACGATCCAAGGCTCCGTAAGCGCAAGCGCACCGCGTATCGTGCCGCGCACGCGTCGCCGTTCCTACTGTCGGTTCTTATCAGCCGCGCCGACGACGACGCCGCCGCCGACGCCGACGCCGCTAAACTCTCTCTCTCTCTTTCTCTCTGTCTACGACTCGGATCGAGACCGCGCCACGCGGAGGGAGCTAAACGCATCGGCGGTCAATGCGTCTGCGCGAATTCTCTCTCTTTCTCTCTCATTCTTACTCTTTTTCATCTTTATTTTATCCTTTCACCTCGTATTTAATACAATTAACTAGTTTCTTACTAACGTTAAAATCTCTATATAATAATATATAATTATAAAATAAAATTATATTTTCATATAACTATCACTTGTTACATTTAACCATTAAGCCATGCAATATATTTATCTTTCTCTTCTACTCTTCCCCCCTTCCCTTTATTCTTTCTCCTTTCAATATATCAAACGAGACCTTGCAAGATCTTCGAATGCCGCGGACCGCTTCTCGCTCACGACTGGTTCATGATCTTCTCGTTGACCCATTAACTCCTAAACTGCCCCGAGACATTGCACCTTCTTCACCAACTACCCTCATTTATACACATATCTATCTACATACGATCCAACAAAGTAAAAAATTTATTACCGGTCTACGATGAGAGTTTAGTGCATATACATACACATATACGCGAAGTATCGTCGGATCGATTGTTCTACCATTTACAACGACGAACGTGATTGTTAACGACCATTACGTAATCTCTCGTCATCCTGACACTTTTTGGATTTTATAGCGTGTGAACGATCTCGTGTGCCTATCGATTATAGATATTAGTTTTTAATCAAGTTTTTATTTAATAAAAAATTACAAATTTTTCGTTCCTCTACATACGTACAGAACCTGAAGCTCTTCTCGATGTATATCCATTACTGTAAAAAGATACAAAGACAAATTTATCATCGGTACATTTAAATCGAATGCAGATTCGTCGTAGCTCTTACCGATCGTTTGAATTCTATTTAAATCGGATCGGGAATGGGAATTTGTTGTGTTCGACCGTTCAGCATATCGTCGAGAAGAATGCTAATCTCCTAAATGAAATTGATTTGAAATTATTGAAAATAATTGCTTGTACAAAATCATTAAAGAACTTTCCCAAGGAGGTTCCGAAGGAGTTCCATTATAGGATCTAACAAGTTAACTTGATTTAAATGCATATATCTATCCTACAATAAATTCTAAATGTACCTCTTCTCTTTGAACTTTCAGTTTATCGATAATGGGCTCGTTGAAGTTCGGATCGTTACTTGGGTCTTCTAAAGTAGATTCGTCGTTTCTTGTTATTTGCGGTACACGAACCACGAACGTCTGCTTAATGGTGTCTAAAATCATGGATGGTTTCGAATAAGGTAATTGCAAGTCGATCGACGTGAAGGAATCTGCACCGGGCGATATAATCAGAGGTTTGTCGTAACTCGTGAATTTCCCTTCTCTACATTTTACGAAGAGGAAAAGTAAATTTTTTTACAATGAAACAGATGAAAAAATTCAAAATTCGTTAATATGATGAAATTGACTTACGCGAGAACAGCTCCAAATCCGACATGAGACAACAAATCTTTCGTCTTTCGTAAGAGAATTTTTTCCTTGCAAGAATAATAATGAAGTCCAGCTCCTAAACTATGCGCGATCGCTCGTAACGTTTTTCCTATTACTTCCTTCTTGTCTAAATCGAAGTCCTTCGTTTCGAAACGATAAATTATAATACAGGAAAAGAACAATTCATATCGTAGATTACCTGAAATTCATCGTATTTTCCTCCAATTATAAACGTTTTAAGGGGTAAGTGATCGGTCATATTCTCCACGCTCTTTCTTTCCCTCGTTCTGTACTCGATCATCTCGTTAATGAGTTTCGAATTGTGACTCATCTTTAATGCACTTCGTACAGCCGATAAAATGTCCTCGAAGGTGATCCATAATACTTCCGGTTTCGATAAATCCAACATCATCAAGAGCGTCGTGTGATGCGGCGAATGAGTTAAGGCCGATCCACTCATAGCGGCGGAAATTAAAGAAGAAGATACATAGCCAATTTCCCACACGTGAACTATGTTCTTCACCTAGATCGTAAGCGCGTTCTTTTCTCTTTCTTTTTTTTCTTTTTTAATTTTACGCAATCCACCCGAAACAATTTCTCAATAAGAATAATACGTACCAAACTCTTACCAGCTTTTCGGCCAAAAGAATACTCCATTGCAATTGTCGGCTTCGGTTTTTCGTCCTTTTCAAGAAATCGATTTACCATCGTAGTTTTCCCCTTAACAAAATCATACGATATTATGGGAAATATTCGTTAAAGCTTTTATTCTTATACCTACAACGCTTTTACTACCAACGATGATAATAGACCTCTCATGAGTCTCCTTAGGATCCGTCTTACGATTTTTTTCTTTTTCCATTGATACACGCAACGCTGATTCCCTATCATTTTCTTCGCTAAAATAATTTTTCGCAATAGTAAACAAAAAATGATATAACATATCTATTCGCTGAAAGAACAATAATACATATATATATATATATATATATACATATGGCAAAAAATCAAAGTACCTAAAGAATTAATATTTTTTTAATGAATACAATATAAAGATCGAAATAATGAAATCTTTGGTTGTTCGTCTTGATTTTTTAATAATTTATTTTTTAACTTATAGAATAAACTATAAAAAATATCTAAAAAAAGAAAAAAAAAGAAAGCAGGATATAAATGGGTAATACTCACGTAACTTTTGATGCCATTTAAAATTATAACGAAATATTCGAACGAAAAGAAAACACCTTGAAAATGACAGATGCTCACGTGCTCGTTCCTCTAGCAGTCTCGGCTAACTTTGTTTTCTTCGGTGTGTCCATGACGACGAGGGAAGGCTAAGTCATGTCGCATAGTTTGCATTTACACGCATACACGTATGTATGTACAATATATTACCCGTAAAAAATCTATTTACTATCAACGAATTATTTTTTAGTTGGAATTTAAATCGAGATCGGATCTACGATCACTAAGACTACAATCATCGTATTTTCGAGTTTTCAAGTAAATATAAAAGTAAAATTCTCGATTTATAGAATCGTATAGAGTTGTAATAAGTAAGCGCATTAAAATACATAATTAAAATAAATTGTAGTAGATTTTATACTATTCGTTTTTTATATAGCCTTCGCAATACATTATATAAGATGTTATAAGGTACATTTTATTACATGTAAATATTTCACCCTTTCTAGATAAACAATCGATTCGTACGTGCTACGGCCTAATGCAGATCATCAGTCTTGGTGAGGAAATCCATAAGGATACTTTTAAATAGTCACCAGCTTTGAATACATCGATTGATTTAAAAAAAAAATTTCCTTCGCAGCTAAGTAATACTTTGTACATAAGATTCAATATTTATAAATTGTTTTTTCTGCATAAAATAAAGTGCAATCAATTGCTTCATTTATTTTTTTGATTCATTAATTTTTTGTATATACACATACGAAGGAAACAATGGAATGTGACTCGCAATTGGCAATCAGCACCTATTCGAAGAAGCATTACGATTAGAATGATTGACTCCGCCGACGTATTTGTATATAAATAAAAGATACGTCTTCGCACATATTACATAGTAATTAAAAATCTTCGTAAATATTTGAAACATTTTCGAGCACGAGCGTAATAAAAATAATACGTATAGTCAACCGATCTTAACATCAATCATGATAAATGAAATTAAAAGGACGATAGAGACAATTGTGTGTATTTTCCTATTCACAATCCATGTTCAAAAAATGCTATAACCATAGAAAACTTATTGTTAGTTAATTCAGCGAATATCTTGAACAATCTCCTTAAGTAAGATCTCATTCATATTTGTTACAACGAAAATTGCATTCGCAAAAATATTATACGAATATAATGTTTTAAGGATGTAGTAAATATTATCTTTCTTTAGAATTTCATGTAATGTATGATAGTTTGAACGATTAGCAACAAGTACCGAAAAACGATCGGTTTCATTATATATTTATATGTATACAGATTTATAAATGAACATCTCAGAAGCATCATGATACAAATTTCTAAATTCGTTAATACTTTTCGTAGATACTTTTAGGAAATGTTCATTCGAAAACAACGTACTTTATCTTGTCTTGTTATTAAGTACATTGATAATATGCGTATAATTTACAATTTAGTGCCTAGCCATTGGTCCATCTACAGCATAATTAATCTTACGTATCAATTATCATAAACTAAATTATGACATTATGTCATGGTAATGAACATAATGCAGAAATAATTGAATTAAATAGAAAATAGAAGATGCTATTTTTAATTGAAATCGAACTTGAGACATTAAACTCGAGAATTATTAGCCAAAAAATACTACGAAAAAATTATACGCAAGTTATCTAAATATTCTTATAATAATGTTTACTCTAAATACTTTTTTTTTTCTTTTTTATATTTAATATTGCACACAAGTATTAAAAAAAAAAAAAAAAAAAAAAAAAAACGTAAACAGGCAAGACACTTATGTCAGCATTTTTATATATAAAAAAAAAGAAAGAAAGAAGAAAAAAAAGACCACGACTTAGAAATGATCATACCGACAATATCAACACGTTGATTGTAACTTTATATGTATATATATAAATATTATTCGATTAAAAAAATTGTACATTCGGTCCTAAATCAGGGCAATAATTTATTATTCGATGGAAAAATGAGAATGCTTATAGGCGGATATTTAACGATACTTGTTACTATTTATATCTTCCGATCTACACAATATTTTGTTTTATATTTGTCCTATGACACAATGCTTTGAACACTATGGTAGGTAGAAATGTTCTTAACAGACATAAAATATGTATAATCAAATCTACCATTAAAACTACTTCTTTAATACGAGAATATAAACAGCGAATGTCGTGAACATCATTTTTAAAAACTATGATTATTTGTATTGTTTTTATTTAGTCATGTCTTTAAGACAGATTCATTATATTTCATTCTTTCATAAAATTGCTGCTTATTATTGTTATGAGCATAAATTAAAGAGAACAATAATTCGTCTTCTACAACCCTTGAAAAATACACTGAACGTAGTTCTTTTTAGTATAGGATAGTTAAGTGCAAAAGTGAAAAAGTTCAGTGCAAGCAATATTTCATTATCACCTCCATATAATTGATGTTTTTCAGACAAATTAATTCTGTAATTTATATGGAGGTAGACAATAGTAGAGATTAGTCACCTTTTTCTATAGTATTTCAATGCTTCTATTATGCAATATATTACACGCTCTGCATGTTATCTAGTCCATATGTCACTCATCCAATCATCATTTAATTCTTCGCTTGGTAAAACTTTCAATTTTCTTAATGCTTCGAGATAAAACGTCAGTTCTAAAGTAACCACCCCATGTTGTGGACCACCATTATTCACTATATTCATTTTTACTAATTGCTCCCTAAGTTTTTCTTTAAATGAAGTATTTACCGTACGATAAAGTGATTCGACTTCAGTCGATGGTAAAATCCCAGAGACAGCCTCATGAAGCTTTATGAGATAACTGTAAATAAGAAATGATTACATATTTAACGAATTGTACTGACGCATGCAACCTCCTATTGGCCGTTATTGAATTTACCTAGAAATATTTCTAAATGATTTCGATGGTACAGGCGGCCTTGCATTCCATTTTGATATTTGACCTCCTAATAAATTGTCAACAATAGTTAAAATTTTTCCTTCAATCTCTCTTATATGAGCCCTTATATCCCTTTCTACGCTATCTAATAATGCCACTCCACCACTTACGCTTGGCATACCTACAATTCCACGACTAGGATTTTGTTCAGCAAGTTCTAGATATCAAGGATTAAATATAATTAAAGTAAATTAAATATTATTAGAATTATAGATTGTTACGATATTATTTATCGTTGCACCTTGAAAATGTTTTTTAATATATGGCATGAACCACAAAATAAGTTTCAGACTACGTGCCGCTAATACAAGAATTGTACTTGTTATAGTCTTTAAGCCTGCAACTTGCATCGCCCCAGCACCCAAAACAAGTTGACAACACCGAGAATTATAATGCCGTAATAATTCTGCCAATTGACGTCCAATAGTTCCTGACAATGCTACTAACTCACTGCTGGTTCTATAAATATATGAGTGATATTATGAATTGTACATTTATTATAATAATTATTTGTTAATAAATATCGTGGATTTACCTGCAATATTCGTGTATCATTTGTATAAGCATTAAAGCAGTAGGAACAACTGCAAATCTTTCTTCTCCTACCATAATAAACGATTCTGTACTAACATTTTTTACCTCATCGTCGCGTTTCAATGGGCCACGAGGAAATTGATTTTCTTGATAAATGTACGTTACCAACGATTGAAATTCTGATGGAACATCAGCTTGTTTCCATCTTTCAGATTCCAATAAGAGAGTAAGTCTTGTTTTACGTTCCGTATGAAATTTTTGTACAAACTTGCTCGCTTGTGCCTTCAAAAAAATATTACCAACCAGTTTTATATTTTGTAATTATAGAAAGAAAACGATCTATTTAAAAATCATCTACCTTGAATGCAGATCGCAATGCAGTACACTGTTTACCACAAAGTTTTTCACATTCTTCTGTAAATTCTTCTACAATATTTGCTAATTGACAAACTTGAGTTGTCGTCGCTCTATCACTTAACCAAGATGTTTTTTCAATTGGACTATGATTTTCCTTATCTTCAATCTTATTTAATGAACTTTCAGATATATTATCTTTCTCATTTTGCAACTTATCTTTTTCATTTGTACCTGCGGAAAGCAGATTTCCCAGACGCTCATGGCAGTAATCACAGACAGATATAAGCATATCAGTGAGTTTGGTAGTTACACGAACATGTTCATCTTGCGTCAACAAACGATCAGGCATAGATTCATCATATGAACCATCGACCGTATGTCCAGCAGATAAGTTTGCAGTGTCACGCATTACATCATGAACAGCCTATAAAAATGAAATACGCGCGCGCGCACACACACACACACGTATATCTTAATATAATATAATATATAATAATAATTCTTACATTTTTAAAATATCTTACCTTGACGCGCACTAGCAGTTTTGTAAGAGAATATATTGTATTGTGAAGCAAGGTCAACCTTTCTGCATGGGAAAGACTGCCCACTTCAAGGGCTGCTGCTTGTTGATCACTACAGCAATCACTTGCTGCAAGAGCTTCTATAACTCTTTGCTTTGTTATAGCTCTAACAGTAGTCACAGCCTCCTCTTTGTAAGTATCCACAAAGTGAAAGTGTTTTTGACGTAGTAGTCCAGAAATGATGGAAACAAGTTTATCCTGTTCGTTGAGGATGTACAAATGATCTCACTGGGAAGATGGACGATAGATTGTTTGCTACTCACTAAAGCTAAAATACTTTTTGAAAAGTATTATGTACTTACTCCATCCAACACAATATCTTCTTCACCTAATGGTCTATTCAAATCTGCGGTAGCATACTTTTGAAATTCCGTAGTAAGCATTTTATCGACAAGTTTTTCCATTTCCGTTAATTGAGAACTCAAATGCCTGAACAGAAACTCAATTAAAATAATATTTAAACTTAATATAAATCGAATAAATATAAAATGTTCACCGAAAGCTATGCACTCCATTTAATTCTTGTAATAGAATCTCTTGTGTCGTAGATATAAGATCTAATGCTGCAACATAGTCTGGCGTAGAAAGTAATAATTGTATCATTGGTTGACTTTGATGTACAGTTGCCATCAGTTTCAATTTTTCATGTACTAAAAATCGATTCGTCCGAGCTCTTTCCAATCTAATGGAAAAAAAAAAAAAAGAAAGAAAGAAAAAAAAAATAGACAATTAAAAATCGCAATACTGGGATAAAATGGAGAAATATGTTTACTTACTGTAAAACTTTTAAAGAATCTTTGACTAGATATTTGTCAACCTGGTGGATATTTTCTCTTAGCGCTTTTAAAACGGTAATAGTTTGAGATAACTGCTCCATTAAAGCATCATGAGAGGTCATTGCATTGAAGAAAGCTTGAGATTTAGAGGCTACCTGCTCTGCTATTCTAACTTCTACAATATCTAAATAGTGACTCAACTGAAATAACATATTATTTCATATATTATTAAATCCTTGCCACCTATGTATATGCATGTCATTAGAATTTATCAGTTCACCTTCTTTTCCATCTGTTCAACATGCGTCACTACGTTGTATTCCTTATCTAATAGGCCATCTTTTGTAAACGGAAATACAGCTTCAAAGTTTTCTCTTTGCGAAAGATCTAAATTTGGTGTTAAAAATATTTTTGGAATATTTAACAAATCAAATTGACTTCGATCTGAAAATATTTAATATTCAAGATAAACTCCACCGTACGACGAATGACAAAATATACAATAATATATTGTTATATATTATTGAAAGTATTTTAAATTATTTACCTAGCGATTTAACTTTTTTTAAATTTGGAAAATTCTGTAGTAATTCATTTGGAGTAGTTGGTCTGGTTGCACTAGAACTCATCATCCGTGAATGTTTACGGTGTCTCTACAAATAGAGATTAAAGAAAAAATTAAATCTGGGATATGGTTGTGTCAGTTAATAAAAGAAAGTTTAAATGAAAATATTATTGCTTACGCGTGCAATTTTTTTCAGGTATACTTCAAAGTGATGCATAGTAACCTCAGGAAGATAAGGACTTCTTGGAACGTCCATTTTTTCTACAAACCCATCGCCCCATGTACGAGTAAAGAAATTACTTTGTTTTCCTTTAAATGGATCATTCAACACTGCAGGTAGATTTTGTATAGCCGAATAAACAGTCCAAGTTGAGCCAGGCTCTAGCAACTGACCATTGTTTTTACGTTGGTGTTGCATCGTTGCATGCTTTGTTGCATGGGCTACATAATCTTTATCCGAAACACCTTCCACTGGAAGACTAGTACATACTCCATTATAACCATACAAGCACACATATGATCCACCTTCTCTTGAACAATGTCGATCTCTCAAGTGTCTAAAATATATGAATGGGAATTATTGCAAATACAAAGCAAAGAGAAATGAATTGATATGAAAAAAAGAATTAATTATTACTATAATAACATAATCTACTATCTATTAAATATGCTAAAAATATATATTATAAACATGAATAGATAGTATTTAATTATATGTGAAATAATATAATGAATATATTGTAATAACATATAACTTCAAGAGGACATTGGACAAGTGGACCCACCTAATAAAATCTTGAATGTGTTTAAACGTGAGGTTAGTACAATATTCACATACTAAAATCGTAGACACCGATTCGGATGTCACTACGATTTTCGCCATTTTACATCTATCGTCTTAACTAATCTGTTTAACATCGCCGTGATTAATTTCTTGCTTTATGTCATCGAACGCTCTTCACCAACATTATACGTATGTACAACTATTTAACGTATGCAGTACACGTCCTCAGTTACATACATTTCACGCGAATACGTTTCAAGTTGTCCAACTGAAAAACACGATTATCGTGATACTACCACTACTGGCTCTCTCTCTCTCTCTCTCTCTCGAATGAAAAAGGCAAACATGCCGATAATGTTTATCAGAGCAAGACAAGCAATGTAGATACGCACGCACGCACACACACACACACACATTATATATATATAATGTGTGGTGTGTGAGTTGCAATAACAAAACTTACTAAACGTTGGGGTCTCTGGCATTTACACGTCATGCTCTATATTATCGACAATCCACCAGAAATAATAGCAATAATCGTAGAGCTTATGAGTGTTTCTCGATTACAATTCGATTAATTCGATTAAATTCGATTAAATTCGATTAAATTCAATTAAACTCGATCGTTTGATTTTTTCAAAAATAATTAATACGGAAGAATAATAATGCGCAGTATCGGTATACGTATCCGTGCATCTACCGTGAACGTTCCGTAATATACGGTCTCCATGGCAGAACGCTGTCCACTTTGAGGTTATGAATGATTTGACAACTACATCGACACTGTGTACTTGACGAAATATAAATCAAAGAATATGGATAGCGAACAAGAGAATACACTAAAATTGGAAGGTCATGCAGATAGAAAATACATTAGCTTTCAAGGTCTTAAAAAAGCTTCCAAATGTCCAAGCAATCGTATTGAATGTTTAGATACAAATCAGTCCGATTCACAACAATTCAATAATCGAGATATTACAAGAAAGAAAGGTACTGTACGGATACACCGTATAAAAATTTGAAGGAACTTTGTACTAACTTGTAAAAAATGTTTATATTTTTGTATCAAACATAATAAATTATGTATTTCTTACGTATAATAAGAGTAAAATCCTTTATCATAATAAGAAGATTTTTTACATCGTATTTCTAGGTGTGTCCTTGATGCAATTTGTACAGACAGAATTAACAAGAGGATACCAATTAGAATATGATGAAGAAAGATTTTCTGCAAGAAGAGAGAAGATTTATTCGTTTATGAAAATTCCTAGAGAAGTTGAAAAATTCATGATTTATGGCTTTCTTCAGGTATAGAGTGATGTTTCGCAAATTGTTTAATATGAATAAGTACAAATAATATTATCTCTTTTACAGTGTGCAGATTCATTTTTATTTGTCTATACATTTTTACCATTAAGATTTATTATGGCATTATGGGCTGTAGCTACAAGACCCCTTTGGCATTGCTTAGGGTAGATATTTTTTTTTATTTATAAATAATTCTATATACATGCATTGTTCTATATAAAACGAATAATAATGTTTTTATCCTGATCAATTTGCAGAAGTAAGAAACTTCGTGCCAAAAGAAAAGAAAGGATTTTGAGGCCGGCTGAAGTATGTGATTTATTAAAGGGAGTGGTAGTACTAGGTTGTTGGGCAGCCACATGGAAAGTGGACACATCAATGATGTACCACGTAGTTAAAAGTCAGTCGGTGATAAAATTATATATTTTTTATAATATGTTAGAAGTAGGAGATCGACTTTTTAGCGCATTTGGTCAGGATACAATAGACGCATTACTTTGGACTGCCACAGAACCACGTTCTCGAACACGATCAACTCGTTCTCAACACTTGGGAACATTGCCACATCTCCTATTTGCTCTTGCTTATGTGTGTATCCTTATAGTACTCGTTCAAAACAAATAATAAGATATTTCTTGTATTTTCTACGATATAAAAAGCTTATGAGACTCCTTGACTAAATTTTTTTATAACGCATACAGTGCTGCATAGTATACTGGTGCTATTTCAAGCGACTACCTTAAATGTAGCTATAAACAGCAGCAACAAAGCTCTTCTTACAATAATGATGTCTAACAACGTAAGTTTTACCCCCTGTAAATATTGCTTTCCCTTAAAAATAATTTATATAAATAAGATTTTATGATATTCCTTTTCAGTTTGTTGAATTAAAAGGTTCTGTTTTCAAGAAATTTGACAAGAATAATTTGTTTCAATTATCTTGTGCCGATGTCAGAGAACGTTTTCACTTAACGATGTTACTGTTAGCAGTTACATTGCAAACAATGAAGGAGTATGCATGGCGAGCTGATAGGCTAATTGTGCTGCTACCTGATTGCGTAATGTTACTATTAGCAGAAGTTCTTGTTGACTGGGTTTGTATATTAAATATTATTATGATATATGAAATACATATGTATTTTTTATTTATTTATTTATTTATCTACAACTAATATAAATAATACCATGTTTGTGTGTAAAGGTAAAGCATGCATTCATCACTCGTTTTAACGAGCTAAGCTCAACTGTCTATAGGGATTACACAGTTAGTTTGGCTTATGATATGGCTCAAACGAGACAAAAAACAGCATTTTCTGATCCATCGGATTTGATAGCTCGGAGAATGGGTTTTATACCATTACCCCTTAGTGTTGCTATGGGCAGGGTATTATGTACAACTTTAACACCATCTGCAAGACCAGCAAATTTCATTTTGTTAATATTAGCATATCTCATACTCGTAGCTTTACGTATATTAAACAGTCTAATTATTTTGGGTAGAGCATGCGATTTAATATCTTCGCATGCACATTCAAATAGAAATGAGACAGGTGAAGAAACATTGATCCAGAATTTAAATAAATCAAGTGCAGATGCAAAAGATCCGAACCTGGCAACAGCTATATTTTCAAATAGCGCTGTCAGTTTGAATAATGTATGTCTTAACGATGCTCTACTTAAATCAGATGATACTACCGACGACCTGGATAGATCTGAGGATAACTCGGCTGAAGTTGCCCCACCAGTTAAAAACATTTTAAGAAGTGGAAGTGAACCTCTACTTCCTCAATGACACCTTTTCTTAGTATAATTGTAGCTCAAAACTTTTTTGTTCATAAATAATACTAGCCATGTATACATATATGTAGACATACTTATGTGTGTGTGTACATGTTATTCTCAGGTTTTTTATTATATGAATTAAATATAAGTATTTAAGAAAATAGAAAAAGAAATAAAATTTCAAGGTACTTTAATACACATTATTTCATTGTAGATCCAAATAAGTATCCTAATTCGTCCATTATATTTGTAAGAAATTATTTTATTGTTACAAATATAACAAAGTAATGGAGGATATTGTACCCCCCCTTTCCTCTTTATTTTTTATACCTGCTTAAGACGTCGTGAACTAATCGTGAACTGATGGAGGATGATCGATGAACAAATCCATACACGAACATTTTATATTTGTTTAAACAATGCAAAAAAAACGATGAGAGGTAATAATTAAACGATATAACATTCTGTAAAACGTCGCACAGCTCTTGAGACGCATTGGACTTGGAATAATTTTCTTTCAGAGTACGTCGATCTTTTAATGCCAACAAGAAGAATCACCATTGGAAGGAACAATGCGACTTACCCACTTTCCAGTTTCCTCCCTTCGTACTCCGAGGATTAAATGTCTGAAATTCACTCTTTTCATACCGTCGCTACATTTAATCGTTTAAATTCGGGAGAGAATCATTAATAAATAATGATTATTTTTACTAACAATAGTTTTTATCAATATTACAATGATCGTAAGACACGATCGATATAAAATAAATTCTTTTTAATTTAATCTTTCGAGAAAATAAATCGCGAACTCAGGATAGTATAATTAATAAATAAAATTATTTTATTTAAATCCTAACACGTCCAGTTAACAACTTGACACTTGAATATTCACTAACCACATGACACCCCGGGAATTAAAGTAGAGTTTTTAAAATAGTGTTCCACTTAATTTCTGAGTCTTCAGATGCAATAACCTCTACGTGATAAGATTCTCGCAGTATAGAAACATATAATAGAATTCCAATATTACCGAGAGAATGGCTTCATGTCTTTCACTGATCTTTCGTCGATTCTTAAGACATAGCGATTGACTCAGCTCAGGTCATATAGCGTTGCGACGATATTACTGATGTCATGATGATATTTCTTTCCCGTGCCTTCGGTATACATGATGGAGGAAAATAGAGAGGGTATCGCCTGTGCAGGTCCCTTCTACCACCGATACCGTGATATAATGACAAAATTTAGGTCTTAGGAATAAAATAAATATAACACATATTTATATATTCCTAATAAAGACTTGATCTTGTCGGCTGCGTTACGGAAGGTTAGATTAAGGATTACGTCACTTAGAATTAACATTCTCAAGCAATAGATTTATGAGAACATGGTAGTTCTAGATTTAAAATTACTCGGAATAGATTTAAGAACTAAACGTAATTAATTTATTAATGAAAGAAAAGACTAACGAATGACCAATTAGGAATGATCGAAAAATTATACTCATCAATAACCTTAAAGGAGCGTTGTGCCGCTGACATATTGGGACGATCGCGATGAAGTAGGTGGCGATCTCGTCGCGACTGTTACGCCTCCTCCGGCAAGATACTAGAACTAACACGTCTCGGCGCCACCTAACATAAGAAATACGTAAGAAACCAACCAAAGAAAGAAAGTAAAAGCAACGCTAAATGGTAAAGCTTTCTTTTCTGCTGTATCATCCTATCCATGACTTTAAAAAATATCTTAAATAGAAACATCCGTTTTTCATTAAATACCTTTATACCTTGCTGAAATCGTGATATTTTTCCATGATACTATAATATATTTTTTTTCCTTAACACTTTTTCGATTTATAAGAATTGATTGTTACAATAACATCTGGATTATTAATATTACCAAAGATAATCCAACGTTAGAGGTAGCACAATCGGTCTTTCTTCATAGCGGCGCATAAATTTCAATTTTGGTGGAAGAGTAGTGAGTTAGTAGCCTTTTGGAAATATCTTCAATTTAGCTACAAGAATATGTGACATTATATATGAAAATAACATGATATTGACTGGTCTTTTCAGAATCATTCCAAGATCAAATAAATATCATAGGTTGATCGCTTTTTTCAAACCAGCTTTTTTCTGTTTCAAACCTGTTTCCAATATATAGTCAGTCGACTTGAGATAATTTTTTTTGGTATTTCGAAATGTCATTTATTTACTGTATAATAATAAATTTTTATTGACCAACGTCTCCTTATATTTTGCTTATTTCATCTTGCTCAATCTCTCACTTTCGCTCACTTTCCCTCCAGCGATGAGATATCCAAATCAAAAATTTAATCAAATTTTGATTATTTCATCTTGCTCACCGCTCTAACTTTCTCTCTCTCTCTCTCTCTCTCTCTTGCTTTCTCCTTTTTTTTTTCTCCCCATACGACTCATACCAGTGAATTGACATAAATCATATCGAATGATTTTTATTTTCGTGGATGACCGTTATTACGTCGTAGCTGTCACACGTGGAAATTTAATTAATATTTACTAAGGAATACTTGTCATTCTTTTTCTTTTTTTTCTTCCGACGAGGCTTCTAGTGGTTTCTTCGGAAAACATAAACGTACATATTACATTTTCTTAATGATTAAATAAAAAAATGTAATTTTTTAGAAAACACGTACACTCTGTACTCATGTTAAGTGTTTTGTATGGTAATCATATCACTCGTTCGTACAGTCGGTCATTATCGCTTCTTGTTATCCACTTAAATTGTTTACTTTTTAGAACCTTTTAAAATACGAGCTTCTATTCCATATATCACCGAGATTATCATTACTTTAATATTATTCACCTACGAACCCTAACCCTACATTTAGTTTCTATATGTTTTTTCATATACATGTAGAAAGTATTCGTAAAGTGATCAATTTGAATTATATTTGAGCGAATTTATAGCTTATTAATTAATTTTTTATAAACAATGATACATATTATATTTTCGTAAATGTCTACGGTAGACATAGTCCAAAAAAAATTAGTTGTTTGTATAATTTATAAAATTAGTAAGAAAAAACAAAACATCGACAGAAATATTAAACCAATGATACGAATATCATTGGTTCGCACAGTTCTTATTTCGAGGTGTTTACAAAGGAGTTTATAAATATATGTTAAAGTAAGAAGCGAATAAAAATAGAGTTTATAATATATTCGTCATTCGAATGAAGAATTAATTAATAACCAGCTTATAACACGATGCTAGGTTATAGGAGGAAGAGACATAATTAACTTTTGAACTTTTCTCCGAATCTCCTATTTCCTGTCTTACCCAACCGAATAAGAATGTTCTTATGTAAGCTCTGATCACGTGAATGTACCGCATTTTCTTCAAATACTCCTCGTATTCCTCTTCTATGCTCATTTCTTTTTAAGACACGATGGCAGAAGGAGTCATTGTGCGGTGCTAACAGATTATCTCTATATCTCAATAATTATTATTATAATCAATAAATTATTTTTATTTTAATTAAACTGTTTCTATAGTTTTCAATTGATTCAATTCATCATAGAATTCAGTGCAACATTAACTATTATTACAACAATAATAATTGGATTGTTCTATAGAATATTACAATACTTTTTAAATAAATTACATATGTATAATAAGATCAAAGGAATCACGGATCCAAAAGTATATCCAACTGTTGGAAATACTCATTAATTTGTCAGCAATAACAAAGGTAAATTTCTAAATGATTTATTTCATATGTAAACTATTTATCCAGTTTTTATTTATAACCTTTTTTCTAGCTTTATTCAACCAAATTCTAAATCTTGATAAGATTTTTTCTTAAGACTAAATAGTCGAATCATTACTTATTAGAGCGAAGTTGAAATAGTCGAAGCATTAGTGATAAGAGCGAAGAATATGAAAACCTGAAACCTGCTGTAGGCAATGGTGGGTTGTTAACTGCTCCAGGTGAAGTATATATATTCTACATTGTTTGTTAATACATAATTATTTGCATTATTAATATATATATATATATACATACATACATACATACATACATACATACGCATACTTACTGTAAAATATATATATTTCTTTCGATGTCAAATTTTATAAAATTGAAGAATAAATTATTTTGTCTTCTTTATATGCATATAGAAATAAATGTGTTATATAAAGATGTACAAGATCTTCTCTCTTTTTATTTTCTTTTATTGTATACTTGTATGTATGGACGAACGAAATAAGTAAATTATGTAAATTAAAGAATTATTTTTCTTTTTATTTGCAGCATCAGGAATCCTCATCGAAAATTATTAAGTGATGTCCTTTTTAAAATATATGTAAAGTCGCATATGGATGTATTGGTTAATCATTTTCATCTCTTTAATGAGAAAATTGGAAATTTTGGTTAGAAAAGAATTAAATGTTTGCCATTACGTTTTTTCCTGTACATTGGACATATTATAAAGTAGAATTCAGAAAATTTTGAACGTTTATAAATTTTATACACACTTGTATGAATTTATTATAATTTTGTTAAAGTTTTTATCGAATCTTTACGTATATAAAGTTGTTGACAAATCCAGATTGCAAATTAGCTGAATCTATAGAATGGTAATAATAATGAATCTTTTATATTCATTATGTTCTTCTGTATTTATTTATAATATCTTTTATTTCCTTATTCAATGGGATGTATATAACTGCAGAAAGGATCCTGAAATTATGGTTACATCTGTATATAATTTTTTATAACACTGCTCTATAGCAATTCCCTATGGAAGAAATTTCAGACATGATAACGTACAAGCGAAGCATTTTTTAAATTATCTATATAAATATATATTATTTTATGTTTCCAAACATAATCGAAGATAAAAGGAATCTGTATTGATAAATGTAATTATTAACCAGGGATTGACAAAGGAAAATTCAGTTAAGAATAATTATAATATATACAATACAATTTTAATTTTCATCTTGTTTTATAATAATGAAAGATCCTTATTTATCTATCAAAAACAAAAGCCGGAGACATTTTTAAACTTTCGAATCAACGCACGAAGAAGAAAAATAATCGGAACAAGATACTCGAGATGACATTAATACGATAGTTATATCCGTAAGTCGCATTTATTATTTAAGTGCCATAAAATTTTGTTTATTGAATAAAATTTAAGTAAATAGTATATTACTTTCAGAGAGTACATTAAGCAATACCATTAGCTTTGTAATTTTAATACTTGCTACATTCCTTGATATTCATGTATGTATATATTACACTTTCTTAATTATTTGTCATTTTAATAACGAAACTAATTTGATAAGAGGTTAATATAAAAATTATTTTCATTATATAAATAACGACAAATAATTAAAAAAATATAATATGTACGTACTTGAATATCAGGGAATGTAGCAAGCATTAAAAGTACAAAGCTAATAGTAATTGCTGAAGTATCCCTTTCCTTACAAAAATAAAACCCTTTTCCCCCAATTGTATTTAACAAACAAAATTTTATTACACTTAAATAATAAATGCGACTTACAGCTATAACTATTGTATTAATTTCATCTCGGGTATCTTGCTCCGAATATTTTTCTCCTTCGTGCGATGATTCGAATAAAATGTTTAAAAGTGTCTTCGGTTTTTGTTTTTATAACATAAATTTTATCAGTATAAAAGAAGATGAAAAGTAGAATACCGTTGCGTATATAATAATTATTTTTAGCTGAACTTTCCAACTTCTCAATACTCGGTCAATTGTACTTTTTATTACATCAAAAATAATTAATTAATGAATATTTCCAATAATTGGATATGCTTTTGGATCCAGGATTCCTTTGATCTTATTATACATATATAATTTATTTAAATTGTGTTATAATATTCTGTAGAATAATTCTATTAGTATTGCTGTAATAATAGTTAATATTTCAATGAATTCCATGATGAATTAAATCAATTGAAAGTTATAGAAATAGTTTAATTCAAATAAAAATCGTTTAATGACTATAATAATAATTATTTTAATTGTTCGTTTTCTAACCTATTTATCTGTCAGACCTTTTTTTATTTCATTCTATCGACCTATGATTCCTTGTGTCCAGTTACTTATCTCTTTGTATTCACGTACTTTGTAACAATTGATAAAAATATATTCTAAATAGTACAAAGCAAAATTTTTATTATTATTATTATTATTATATGACATTAGAAACTCGAAGGCTCATTGCCGCAAATACCAAATACCGTCGCTGTTCCCATTTCCGGGCAAGATTCCTCCATTCACTACCCCGTTATTTCGTTAAGATCCATTCTAATATTCTCTTCTCTACATCTTGGTCTTATCCATTGAGTTTACCAATTAATACCTTTTGTGCGGTTCTATCCTCATCCACACGGACCCATCTTAATCGATGCGATTTTATGAAGTTAACTTTCTATGCTTATTTGTAATTTTCGATCGGTTTGATTGTATTTTCGATTTACGTTAGAAAATGCTCTAAATAATGTGCGTACGATACCGAAATGTATACATAAACAAAATATATACGTAAGCACGTATGTAGTACGTGATTCCCGAGTAATGATGGAACAAAAAACAAGTTTCTGATACGTGTCACTGTTTAAGAAATAAATATGTAAATAAGTATTGACATCGGCATCGTCAATTTCTGTAATACAGGATAAAGAAGATTTTTGATATTGTAATACTTATAGTATAAAATACATTAAATATATTCAAAACAAGATATACATATATATTTGTATAATTTGAAAACAGCTTTATTTACAATAAGTGTATTGTATATTTTAATGTTTTGTATAATTGTTTATATGTTTCTGTCAAATGCAAGCATATGATGCAGCGCATGATTTGCGTTCTGGCAAAATTCAAATATGAATGTAAGTTTCAACATAAATTATACGTTTTCTACATTTATCCAGCCGGTTTATTAATGATCTCCGTTCTCTCTTTTTTTGTTTTTTATTAATTCATTTTTTATAATCTTAAACAGTATTTAACTCTTTTTATATTCGATCCTCTCTACTTTTACATCATCTCCAACTAATTGATATACGTAAGTTACAACTGTGGAACTTTGTATATCCATTAGAACGAAAGATGGAATAACCGATCTGCAAGTGTAATATGCAAAGTATCAATATATGTGGACACAAACAAACATGTAGATATTAATATATAGTTGTTATTATAGATTTTGGATTACTCACGTATCCAAGGGATTATATGCTCCTGTCGCTGATCCAGGATTTATGTAGAATTTATTTTCATGTTCGTAAGCTTCAAATTTATGAGTATGACCGGATATTAAAATATCAACATCCAATTGTCTTTGTATCAAGGCTAAAGCTTCTGGATCTCCCCATGGTACAACTTGATGACCATGTGATAACCCTATTCTAAATTGTCCAACTGTGACAACTTTTTGTTCTGGATAATTTAAATTCTTTAAACAAAAAAAAATAGCAATTAATGAGAGATATAAGTCGGAGAAGGGTTAGGAGAAAAAAATACATACCTCATCAAAATCTCCTCTTACTACATGTACATCACTGGCTAATGTCTTTAAATAATCATATGATTCTTTTGTACAAAGATTACCTGTACACAATATGTGTTGTATTCTACCTGGTACCAAAAGTTTTTTAAATTTGCTTGGAAGACTGCTACACCTATGTGGAATGTGCAGATCTCCCAACACTAAAACAAGCTGTACATACAATAATAAATTATTGTAGCATTAACTACAAAAATTGTAATAATTTTCTTTTATATATGTTTAATATAAAATATTTAAGATAAATAAAGGAAAGCTATATTGTGGTACTATACAATAGAGTTTTCGAGGTTAAAGAATCTGTGTATACTGATCAAAAGATCTCTCTCACCATGATTTTATTGGTAACGCTTTTATAAAAGTACACTTATTAACGTATACTTTTTAATGTACTGCATTTATTTACAACAAATGAAATATAATAGCAAACTGTCAAACTAAGCTAGTGGGTGTAGTTGACAATTATGTACAACCGATATCTCGAATTTTGATTGCGAATTTCGATTAATCGAACATCGCAAGCATTGCCCAGTTTCTGAATAAAGCCAATGTTAATTTTACAGACCAATGATAGCGATCGTTTAGAATGAATTGGAACGAATCAAGCCAATAAACGAATAGAAATTTTTACAAGCATGAAAGAAGATACAATTTGAATGCATATATGAGATTCGAATTTTAAGTGGCGGGAACATTTCTGAATTATATTACGTACAAGCACTTTTGTTTTAATTTACAATTAAACGAAGTCTTATTTAATGATTACATCGAATTAAGTTTAAAGAAAATCATGAAGTGCGTCATACCTGGGGGAAATGTGAAAAGTATATCTAAAATGAATATTTTACCTAGGTTATGTTATGTCACAGATATAAAACATTCTCTTTTAATGAAATATATTTATAATATATAAGGACATTTAAGTGATTTATAAGGAAATCATTGTTTTTATCATAACGATCTTATGCCATAACAATATGTAATAACAATAAATTGCAATTGCAGTTGTAGCAAAAGCCATCCATGCTCTAGCGAAGATTGGAGATGAAATGTATGTACAACCTCAACCAAATAGCTTATCCTTTCGTGCAATTAACATGGCCAATTCTGCATACGCTGACTTTACTTTTTTTGAGAATTACTTTTCGTATTATGTATTCGACGATCTTGAGGAAGACGATGCTCTTAAGTGTAAAATTTCTATGAGGGTAATATATTGTAAAAGTGTGTAATATTCATTTTTTTGTTAACATTCAATTTGATTTTATTATCTTCATATTGTAGAGCGCTATGACAGTCTTCAAAACACCAAATATGATAGATAAACAAGTAGAAACCTGTCATATTGAGTTAAAGCCAAATGCAGATTTTCTTTTTATTACTTTAAAATATAAAAATAGCATCATAAAGAAACATATTTTGCCGATCATAGATAGTGAAAAATTACAAGTATGTTATATATAATATAACGCTTTTATATAACTATTTTAATTTTTCAACTTAATTATTAATTATTTTATATTTTATTTCAATATTTATAGGCTACATATATCAAAGATAGTGCGACCAATCAATTATCCGCGCAATCTGTTATACTTGGAGATGCTATACAAAATTTCCAACAAAATTTAATTGAAATCACTCTTGAAATTCTACCACAAAAAGTTTTGCTTAGAAATTATATAGATGATACGTCTAGTAAGTATTTTCTTTTTTTTATAAAATTATTATATTAAAGCTTAATGATATATAAAACATTTTATTTGTAACATAGACATAGCTAATGTAACAAGGACACAGTTGGTACTAGGTAGAGGTGAATTTGATCGATATTCAGTTAATACAGAGACAACGATTACATTTTGTATGAAAGAGTTGAAAGCAATTCTTAATTTTGCTGAATTTGTTAAATTACCAATTAATATGTATTTAGAAAGCGCAGGAAAGTAAGTTTGACATATTAATCGTCTTTGTTTCTCCTATTGTATGACTGTTGTATTGTTTTTTTTCTTTCTTTTCTTTGTTTTGCTGTGCAGACCTGCTGTGTTTGTATTAAAAAATTCAACTTTGGAAGTAAATTTGGTATTGTCTACTTTAAATACTGAGATTGATAGCCAGTCTGAGACAACTGTTACTGAGAAAGCAGTCAAGCCTATACGAAAGAGGGCTACAGTTAAAAGATCAACGAAACGATCATCTAAATCTTCAAATAGAACAAATAATACATCTTTTTCTAATACTACAATTATATCGAAGCAAAAGAAATCAAGTGACATCAAAATAGGAAAAGAAGTGACAAATAATGATGCTCGTGTATCATCGAAAGAACATAATCAAAATGATATTGTAACGGATGCGAATACATCGAGTACAAATGATATATTCTCAAAACCTAATGTATCTAATAATGAAAAGAAATTAGCACATAATATATTTTCAAACATATTAAAAAGAAAGTCTGGTGAAGGTTGTACAAAATATCTGGATAATGTCGCTGGAGAAAAGAACAATGATGAGTTAGAAAATACTGTGCCTAAATCACCATCTCCTCCGTCTAAGAAAGCACGCTTTATCTTCAGAAAATGTTTTCAAACAACATTTGATCCACGAATGTTGCCTGGTCATGATACTATTCTAGTTGAAGATTCAGATGAAAACAGCGAATGACTTCGTTATTTATTTAAAATATTCTTATAAACTTTTGTCGGATTAAAAAATATTTATTTGGAAATTTCTTCTTTCAACTTATTCATTTTAAATTGATATAATTGAATCTTACATTGAATCTTACTTGAATATAACAGGTCAAGAAATATTAATTAAGATGCGTAATGAAGGAAGTTAAATAAAGTTGTAAGTAAAGTTCTTGATCTCACTGGATGCTACAAAATGTTAACTCTTAATTTTGTATCATAATGTACATAAATATTATTAAACTATATCTTGTTCATCGATAAATTAGAAAAATGACTAAGTGATCAATTCAAAGTCCTTGTACGATATTCTTAATAATAAATATCGAATAAATTTAGAATAATGTATAACAATCGAAAAAAGAATTCATAAGATTGAAGTATTGCATAGGAGTAGGATAAAAAAATATTTCTATTATCTTTTATAATGTTTTTATAATGTTTCTTGCGCAATTTAATTAATAAATATATATATATACATATATATATATGTATATTAAGTTCATTATACGACCAGTAGGTGGCGTAGTTTTGTGGTTAACCTATAAAAGAGTTAAAAAGGTGATGTTGTGTAACATATTAATAATTTATCGTTATTAAAAATTGACGCAACGCGATATAAATTATGAAGAATGTTAAGTTAGCATTAAGGTTATCCACGATAAGTGGGTTAAGTGGTTGGTACATAGGCAAGTATTTTAAACAAGAAAAACATTCTCATGTGGAGGAAGACAATGGAACGAGTATTTTTCATAAAATTAAACGTATGCCCGGTTTACCAATATTTGGCACAGTATCCGCACGTGAAAATCTACTAGAACCTTCAGATGTAGAATCAGAAATGGGTTCAAAATTATCTGGAACTGCAACAAGAGTATCCCAGGTAATTTTTAAATTAAATTATTATCAATTATTCTTATTTCAATATAGAACATAAAAATCTTAACACATTGCCGACCGATCAAAGAGATTTCCTATTTTATTTAGAAAATATTGCGTCTATAATTCCGTATAAGTTATGTGATTAAATTTGAGAATGTTATTACACGTCGTTTGCGAAAAACGCGCGATGAGCAGTTTATAGTCATGTACGATTCGCGCGATTGACAATATATTACCTTTCGAATGTACATATATATATGTGTTTGTGTGTGTATGATGTATGCATGTACGCATGTACGTATGTACGTGTAAATGATCTGATTACAACTTCATATGAATCAATTTATAAGCGAATCAATTTTTTTTTTATTAAAAAATTTCGATTTTATTAGTGTTAATGTCTACTCTTAGACGAGTAATAATAGATTCTATCAACTTAACAGATTATGAAATTTGGTTTTCCTGGTTATGATAACATCAGATCATATGAAGATTTTATATTGTCTTATGACAGAAGAAATCGTGTTGCTCATTGGGTATTTGAACATTTAAACAAAGAAAGATTACAATATAATGAAACTGTAGATCGTTCAAAGTGTGAATTTACGCCAGATACGAGTATACACCCTTATTTTAGGTACATATTTGCATATTTTTTAATGAAATGAACCCTTAAATATCTTCTATGATATATATTATTAAACTGTGTGTGTGTATGTGTCTGCATATGTACATTTTTAATTAATATAATTATATATCACAATTATATAATACAGATCGGATAATAGTGATTATAAAGGAAGTGGTTACGATCGTGGACATTTAGCAGCAGCTGGAAATCATAAACTATATCAAAAACATGTGGATCAAACATTTTATCTTTCAAATATGGCACCACAAGTTGGTGTCGGTTTTAATAGGCACTCTTGGAATAGATTAGAAAAATATGTGAGAAAATTAACTAATGTTTATAAAGATGTTTATGTTTGTACTGGCCCATTATATATTCCAAAGTAAGTATATTAATGAAAAATATAAATAGAAATGAAACATTATAGTTTGCATTTTTTTTTCTAGAAGAGATAATGCAGACGGTAAGTTATATGTGCGCTACGAAGTTATTGGTGCAAATCATGTTGCAGTACCGACACACTTTTATAAAGTAATTGTTGGAGCAACTCATAACTCAAACTTTGAAATGGAGGCTTATGTAATGCCAAATATGCCCATTGATGACAATACTCCTCTTACAAATTTTCGGGTAAATTCTTATAAATACATAATTTAGTTTGATCTGATAAATATATTTTATAATAAATTTCATTTTGTTATAGGTACCGCCAGAAACTATTGAAAGAGCAGCAGGTCTTTTATTTTTTGATAAATTATCTCGCGAAAAACTTACAAAAATCAATGGGAAAAGTATAGCATAATATTGTTTCATACAATCAATTAGTAGTCAATTTTTATGACTGATTTATTTTATATTTATTTCTTTGCTAAATATCATTCTTAAAAATGTAGATGCAAATAGCTAATCGAAAGTTATAGAAAATTGAAATTAATATTTATGTGTGTGTGTATATATATATATATATATATATATATATATATATATGATCAGTATATCCTTTTTTTTTCATCTCATGTAATAACATGAAACAAGAATAGATTTATTGAGATTATTTTATTATTATAATGGAATTATTTTAATGGATATAAAAATTATTTTTTTAAATGCAAGAAATTGTATATACAAAGTTTTACGAAATAACAAGATGTATTATCATTTATATTTCGAGATTTTATTGCCTTTTGTACAATTGATGATTGAAGCTTTCATCATTTATGTTATAATAAATTTAGTGCATAATCACATTTGACCAATCATGAAAATAAGTACTCGTAGAAAAAGTACATATATTCATCTTTATACATTTTTTTTAGGCACGACCATAGGGAATGTTATATTAATATATTCAACTCTCAGTCTAATAAGAAATAAAATTATTTTTTTTTTAATGTGTGCTTCGTGTCCAATCAACGATATATTCTACGATAATTCTGTCAATTTTTATGCGCTCATAGCCGGAAGTAATAACTCTTATTTAAAAATTTTATTATCTTTGATTATTATTTTCCGACTATAGCTGTATTTTACATGCGTTTACATAAAAATATTGTATAGCACGTAGTAATAGTGCTATAGCACTAATATAGTAGCACATAGATAGTATTCTATCATTACGACTTTCCATGGAATGTGTGTGTGTGTGTGTGTGTATAAAGATTATTATTTGCCGTATTGTTGTCATGTCTAAAGTGCGTAGTGAATCATACAGACGATTTTCTTACGCGTGTATATATATATATATAGTTCATTATTTAATAAGTATTTTGAACGCATTCTTGGTCGAGTTAATTCTCGCCGTTACTTTGGTCACAGTAGTAATATTATTACATACCAAAGAGTACATTTGTTGTTAAAATACTATGTTAATTTTAAATACAGTATTCATATAAAATCCTATTGACAAAACCATTAATAAATTTTATGACTTAACATCTATTTTATGTACACAAAATTAACAGATATGATAACATAGCGAAGCTCGCCGGATGTTTTCATATTCTTGTTATTCATCTACTCTTATATTCTATATTTTGACCAATGTTGGTACATATTAATGTCAAAAAGTTTCAGAATTTCTGCATTTATAATAATTTAGGCACTAATATGGACGGGTCTCGTTATTTGAATGCTGCGATCGCGTATCACTTACATAGTAAGGACACTTGTCACAGCTTTAAGTACACTCTTCGTTAAGTAACTACTTCGTATGGTTTTTATCATACGTTATCGTCGAATAAATTGAAAATACTGAAAGAATGAAAAGCAATGCTCTTCATTATTTGTGACGTCACATTAAGTATCCAATATTAACAATGGTTATATAGTTTTTGACTAATACAATCTCTTTGCCACATTGTACTTGTGTCGTCGTGAATTGTGTTCACATTAAAAAATCTAACACAACATTGAATAGACTAAATTAAAATTTAATCTGTAAAATACTGCACACCTCTGAATATAGTAGTCTTCTCTTTCTTTTTGTCCTTTTTTGTTCTTTTTTCTTTTTTTCTTTTTTCTTTTTTTCTATTTTTTTTCCGTATTCTATTGTACTTTTTCTATATAACCACTATGAGAAGTGGCTTTGTAATTTCTTTCCTTTTCTTTTCGTTTTTTATATTCTTTTTCTCGTTTAACAGCTTATGAAAGATTTCGACATATTTATACCGTTACAGCATTAGTGTGACCCAATAAAGTAGTTAAGTAGCATAGACTAGAAAACGTAATGGAACGTTTGATGATATGCCACTTGAAGATTTTTTTGTTATCATCCAATTTGTTTCGTACATGTAATAGCGACTTACGCACTCGATAGACTAGCTTGCGTAAGACGCTCTGATCACTTATTATTATCAAATCATATAAGCTCTTCAAATCAGTCTTTCCTCCGGTGGAGGTTTCATTACGTTATCCATCTCCACTCGCGGATTACTAAATTCTTGAGCGCTTGGGCTGTACGTACCACGAGTGGCACGTTTCTTTCTAGCCATCATAAATAATGCTATTAATGAACCTGCCGCGATGAGAAATAAACAACCAACAATTGGCCCTACGATAATAGCGATATTGAATGCTTGACTTCCAAGCTGTCCAGACTGAAAAATTTAACAACGAATTAGCCAACCCGCTTATTACAACAGAATTTATTTTGGATTGATTCCTTTAATTGATTCCTCATAAAAATAAATTGCAGTTATCATAGTTAGTGAATTAATAGTTAAAATAATGTAATTATTTCTCTTACCTCTGTACAATTTTTTCCAGTATACTCTGGCGTACACGCACACTGATATTCACCATTATTTCCGCACTCACACGTCCCTCCATTTTGGCAGTGATCCTGTTAAATGAAACAAATCGAGATTATAATTGATACGAAAACGACTGTGAGAATTCATGTGAATGATTAAATATTTACTTCTCTACAAGGGTCACCCATTCTACAGTTATATCCACAGTATCCAGGATTACAAATACATTGATAAGTACCAAGCAAGTTTTCACACTTCCCGTATCCACAGTCAGTCAACGGATTTTGACATTCATCCACGTCTATAGAACAATCTGGTCCTGTATAACCGGTGTCTAAACAATCGCAGGTAAATTCGTTCACTTTGTCGTAACATTTACCGTCATTTTTACACGGCACGTTACCATCCGCGTCTGGTGCACAATCGTCTATATTTATTTCACAGTAAAGTCCCGTGTAACCAACCAGGCACATACATTGAGGGGCCTAGGAAAAAAAAATAATCATTAAAAGATCAAGAATTTCTCAATTACATCTCTCTTAATATTAACGCAAATTGATAAGAAATATGTCTGGTTTCAATAAATTCAGTAAATCTCACCTTAATCACAAAAGAAAGTAAACTTTCTTTTTTATGTATTAAGATATTCGAATGATTTTTTTAATAGAAATTGAAAATAATATCATCGTGACTACGGAATTTAATATTTAATACCTGACGTAGGAGGTCACACGTGCCGCCGTTTTGACACTTTTGAACTTGACAATAGGGTAAGTCGCATTGAGTGCCCTCGAAACCAGTCATACAAGTACAAGTGTAATTATCTCCTGTCTTTGAATTTACAATGTCCGTACATGTGGAACCGTTTTTGCAAGGTTCGCTTTGACACGTAATCAGTCGAAAATTTTCGCAGAGTTCGCCAACAAACTGATCGGGACATTCGCAACGAAAAGATCCAGGTTTATTAACGCAAACACCGTCATGCTGGCACGGACTAAGAGTCACACACTCGTTAATATCGCTGTCGCATCTAAAAGAAAAAAAAAAAAAAAAAAAAAAAAAAAAAAAAAAAAAAAAAAAAAAAGATAAGATCTAGATAAGTTAAGAAAACCTCACAAGATTCGTAATCTTTCGCAACGTTATCAAAAACTATTATCACATCGTTGCAGTATTCTTCTTTTTTCTGTTATTTTTTTGTTCCTTTCTTTTCTTTTCATACAAAGAAATTAATTTTATAGCAAATATTTAATTGGCGCAAACAATTTCTATCTTACATATACTTACAGCCATCCCTGCCAGCCACTGTTACAAATGCAGGTATAAGTAGCAATACCATCGACGCAAGTCGCATTATTTTGGCATTTATTATCGATACACTCGTCGATATTGACAGAACAATCATCTTCGGCATAGCCCGCTGGACAATCGCATACGTAGCTATTGGTTTTGTTACGACAATGACCATCATTCATACAATCAATATCGAAGCATAATTGGCAACCGATATTGTTACTCGAGTTATGATTTTGTAGAGATAGATATTCAAATGGTGTAAAGTTGGCGTTTTGATATACCTCTTCGTAAGTAAAATAATGCAATAACATGCTGCCGATTCTTACTTCACCGAGGCAACCTTTAAATACTTCTCCTGAGAAGATAGGTAATGATGAAACACTAGTGTTTATACATATATATATATACACATATTTCAAATCAAATATAATCTAAAAGAAAAGTTTTATACCTGATACCATATGATGAGGTGGCGTAGTAGTAGTCAGAACGTAATCGCTGAGATCAACAGTATTTTGTTTAATGGCTTTTCTATTCGTAGCTTGATTATTATTATCGAGAGTAACGTAAGTATGTCGATTAGAGAGAGCATTGCTTAATCCACCTAGAGTGACCGTACCAGTGATCAACAATTCGTACCACAGTGCAAAATTGAAATTCGGACTAACTTGGGGCGCGTTCTCGTCGTTCGTGTTTGCATAAGTGCACTCCATAGAATTGTTATTTAGTCGTAGTATTATGGACGTCCAGTTTCCGTCGGGTTCGTTCTTACCGAAACTGAGGATACCACGATTCTGATCATCTAGTCGCCAGGAAACTGTGATTTCGTCTTTGTAAACGGACACGGTAAAGTGTTGATCACCTACACGAGGCGCCATGTGCATCAGAGTGCCACCAGTATTCGATCGATACGTTATTCGGATAGTATCGATAGTAGTGTCGGACTCATTTCTTTCTTCCATTTCCATTTGATCGTAAACGTAAGTGAACGTCGTACCGACGCCATCGAATGTCGCATTAGCAATACATTCATAACCATCGTCGAGATTCTGACATTTAGAACCAGCCGGACAGTCTTGGAGTTGGCAAAATTCCATTTCTTGGCAAGTTTTGCCGGTATAACCTCGTGGACACTGACACCAGAAATCATTCCACGTAACGTGGCAGGTACCGCTGTGGTTACAGGGATTACTGATACACACGTTGTCGGATAATACGCCTTCCAAAACTTTGTCATGGTCGAAGGTTACGTTGCCAAATTGCGTCGGTGTCGGTATGTCTTTTGCCTTTATATAATGACGATAAAGTTAATTGAACGATTCATTAAATTTTTGCTAAGATTCATTAGGATACATCATCGTAATATTATACCTTCAAAGGGAAGAATTCGACGACCATTATCTCGTTGCCATTAGATATCTGTACGTCCTGTATTATTCCTTTGAAATTTATTTGCGGGACTTGTTGAATTTCCATTTGACGACTATCGACTTGTCGTATATATCTCGATGCTTGCGGTAAACCGCCCAAATAAAGTACAGTAACGTTTAATTGTCCTGAAGTGCTAATGGTTTTGCGAAAGTATTCGGTACCGTTAATTTTCACTTGTACCAACGTTACATTCCTGATAACTTGTATCAGATGGTTGTTTCCGTCGTTTAATTTAACACCACCAACCGTATACGCCTCGGTACCATTAAATTGAATTCTAACGAGTAATTCTCCTCCTTCTAATTGTGCCGCTATATACGTCTTGTCCTGAGACTTTGAGTCCATTTGTGGAGCCGGTTCAGATCCTAAATAGAATATGTCGCCTCTATCCTGTCTCGTCCGTATAAACATTGAAATATCTACGATCGATCTAACCGCTTTCCTCGCCATATCAGATACTTTAACCGTGACGTAACCATTAGTGATGTTCTCAAAACCAAATGTGGCAGCCGTCATATTGTACTGGCACGTGTGACCTAAATACGGTCGTTCGCACTTGCAAGAGAAATCCCGCCAACCGTCGGTACAATGGCCTCCATTTTTACAAGGATTCGGTGAACATTGTGCTTCACGTGGACACCCAGGCTCGATACCTTCCATATAGACCGTCTTAGATGTTGTCCCAGAATATACCTAAAATTAAATGATCTGGTTAAATTTTGAACATAAATATTGATCATAGATATTGTTGTCGTTATTGTCGTTTGATGAATTGAATGAAAGTAAGCACCCATTCTCCATTAATAACGACGTCCTCGGTACAGCCTATAAAGAAAGACGGGCCATGCGTAAGTCTTCGGAGATAGTTAGTGGTACCACCGACGTACGTCATCGGGAAAGATGTGTGATTGGAGTTAGATCCTTCGTTGAGACTGATGGGATATATCGTTTGTTCTTCGTTAGCCGATAAAACCAAATGTGTGGTATTGATAGCTACGAAAACTTTTTGCCAGGAAGAATCATTTAATCCGCTACCAATGAAGACGCCTTCCCACTTATTCAAAAGGCTCGAATGTAGATTGAGTTTGCCATTGACGAGTTCAAGAATGTAAAACGTTAAACCCTTTCCAATGGCCAACAAACCGTTTGGTAGCGTAGTTCGAAAACGAAATTGAATATCGTATCCTTCCTCGCGAGTTGTGTTCACAAGAACATATGAACTGCCGCTCAATGACATGGTGGTCACCTGGAAAACAGTTTAAAAATTAAAAATCTATGGTTTTTTTCCTTTCTCTGCCCCAAGCGCTTTACGTACGTACCTTTCTCTTTTTGAGAAAACATTGTGAAACAAGTTTGAATAACTTGCATTAATAATGTGCTCATTAACTATTATCTATTGCAATATATCGGTAATCGTACGAACAAAATAATCTACGGCTTTTAAATAAGTATAATGTTTATAACGATCAGTAAAAGTTTATCATTCAGCATGATTGATAAAATAATATCTCGTAAAAGATTCTATAAAAGACTGATTTTAACTCTTAAAATGAGGATCAATATATTTTCATTCAATTGTCCCGTCCGTACGCGTATCAAATAATTAAAATTTTTCGACAAAGAAGCAATAAGGTACTTACATAATTACATATTTCACCGTGGAAACCGTTTGGACAGGTGCAATTGAATTTGTGAATTTTTTCATCGATTAGATATGGCCAACAGGTACCGCCGTTCTGACAGGCATTACCCAAACAGCCTGTTAATTCAACGGAGCAATTTTTTCCGCCGTATTCGGGTTCGCAAGTGCAAAAATAGTCAGCTCTACCATCGGTACAGACACCGTGGACGCAAGGGGTGTATCTTTTGCATTCGTCGATGTCATGCTGGCAATGATCACCCTCGTAACCTTCGTCACATTCACAAGTGAATCCACCAATGCGATCGACGCAGCTACCAGCCTGACAAGGATTGCTCTCGCACTCGTTTATGTTCATTTCGCAATTTTTACCCGTAACTCCTTGGACGCATAAACATTCGTATCTGAACAGAGATGAGGTAGAATTAATTGAATATAAGATCGACAACGATAGTAATAATAAGGAAGGAAACTAATAGGTATGCATAGATATTACTAACCCGCTCGCGTTGGCATAACTGAAATCTTGAGTGAATATGGAGGGTAAATTAAATGCCTCGCTTTTGTACAATTCTTTATTTGATCTCTCGAGGCAAGTACCGTTAAATTGGCAGGGTGAACTTTCGCATTCGTTTATATCTATTTCACAGTTTTTGCCGGTGTAACCGGAATAACATTGGCATTTGTAGTTCTTTATATCGTCGATGCAAATGGCATCGTTGACACACGGGGCGGATAAACAATCGTCTATGTTTTTTTCACATCTCGTACCCTCGAAACCAGTGTCGGTACAGTCACACGTATAATCATTTACACCATCCATGCATCTACCGTAATTGTAACATGGCAGTGGCTCGCAATCGTCAATATTAATCTCGCAATTAGTTCCACGGAATCCAGGTGCGCAATTACAAGTGTAAGCTGCGACTTCGTCTATGCAGGTCGCACCATTCAAGCAAGGATCACTCTCGCATTCGTTAACATCGGTGTCGCATATCTTCCCGGCATAACCAGGTGGACATTTACATTCGAACGTATTGATTCGATCGATGCAAGTGGCGTTATTCAAACAGGGTCCGCCAAGACACTCGTCAATATCGATGTCACAATGATCACCGGAGAAGCCAGGTATGCAGAAACATTTGTAACTTCCTTCGGTGTTCAAGCATATGCCATTGTTACACAAGGAGTTACCTTGAGTCTCGCATTCATTGACGTCCTGATCACAGAATAAACCTGTAATTGACAGAGAATCGAGGATGGATAAAGCCATGACCGAGCCAATTATAAACTTTTTTATATCGTTTGGTTTAGATAGATCATTTTAAAACAAAACAAGAAGAAAAAAGAAAGAAAGAAATTGGCAATAAAAACTAAATTTCATTTTTTCTTTTTAATAATTGCTCTGTCGAAAATATTTCATTTTTATGTACACGGTTAGTTTAGATCACAGTTAACGTACCTTGAAAACCAGGATGACATTTGCATTCGAATCCGTCGTCACCTAAATCAATGCAGGTACCATTGTTACACGGCTTTCCGGCGCAATGATAAACGATAAGGGTACAATTTGGATCTCTGTATCCTTCGCGGCATTTGCACTCATAACTGGCGATACCGTCGACGCATATCTTATCATCTGGACATATCACGTCCACGCAATCATCAACGTTTACGTCGCAAATTTTACCTTCGAATCCTCTTGGGCATTCGCAAACGAAATCTCGTCTTGATCTTGATATAAGAGTACAACTTCCATTATTTTGACATGGATTCAAGGAACAAGCATCGAATTCTCGTTCACAATTCTGGCCCATGAAATCTTTCGTACAATTACACGTGTATTCGTTAATACGATCGATGCATGTGCCACCATTTTGGCATGGTTGAGAGAGACATTCGTCCACGTTGATCTGACAGTTCTTTCCTATCCATAAAATAAATTCATTTGTAATTGAGAATGTGACATTGACAACTTGTTTTCTTCGCTACAAGTTGTTTGCTAACCAGCTATTTGCATAATCTGTACTTATTTACCTTGTTGAAAAGGAAAAAGAAAACAAAAAAACAAAAAAAAAAAAAAAAGGAATAGAAGCTATTTTAAATTTTAAATAATCAATTTGTGATCTGTTAAAAACCAACAAGCATACATGTAGTACATTCTGTTCAATTAATTCTTATACCAAGAAAATAATTATAGAAAAAGAAAATTTATATGAAGAACAACAAAAGACAGATTAGACGAAGAAATATGAACAAATGAATGATCTAATTAATAAATTTATCAGTTAATTAAACAAAATATCATCCCAATTTAATCTTTTACGTGAAACAAAGCGTCACTGATCAATGAGAACACAAAATAATGATTGTACCAGTGTAACCAGCCAAACATTGGCAGTAATAACTGTTGAGTTGATCGATGCATATACCACCATTTCGGCAAGGATCGCTAGAGCATTCATCCATGTCAATGGAACACTCTGGTCCTGTCCATCCTGGTTCGCAGGTGCAATAATAGCCTCCAGGCTATTTGGTGATAAGACAAGTAACGAAAATGAGGCAAAGAAAGCAGACAATGTATTCCATGTATAAAAGCTTACACATACATATGATACATGTATTATACGCGAAGCAGAATATCGAGAAATCAAACTCACATAATCGTGGCAAGCGGAAGCCTGTTTGCAAGGTAGATTACGACATGTAATCTGTTCCTTGCACTGCGTTCCCGTCCAAAATCGTGGACATTGGCACATGATGCCAAAGACTGTTTCAATGCATGTACCACCATTGTGACATATCGTGCACCAATCCGAAACTGATGTCGAACACGTTGCACCTGATGAACGACACGTACCACGAGGTAAGGGACAACACAAGACAATTTACGGCCAGATCGTATTTTATGCATGCGAGGAGGGAAATGGAGAGGGGGGGGGGAGAGAGAGAGAGAGAGAAAGAAAGGAAAAAAATAAGCAACAAAAAACATGCAGTTTATATCATTCGAGCCAACGTGAATCAGAATGTATCGAATCAAATTTTTTTCTTTCAGAAATATTTTCTCTTTCGTTTAAATATCTCAAGTAAATTAGATCACTTTTATTCAAGTAAAGTTAATCAAGAAGGCCGCATCCAAAATACACGGTTCAAGTTAAGAAACATTTTTATCAGCGTTAAGTAATTTTGTTTCAATAAAAATAATCTGACTTTCAACATGGCTCATACATAGACAATATTCAACAGCAAGTTAGTTGCGTAAGAGTTATGTATATTTTAGATAAATGTAAAGATAGAGCGACTGTTAAGATGTAAGAGTGAAACATTTTAAGAGCGAACATCTATATGTATCTACGTATATAAAGTTACAATGATAACAGACACAACAAAGAAGAAAAGAAAAGAACCATTAGTGGAATTATCAGTTAAATATCATTTGCGATCGATTTATAAAGAGATATTTACTTATTAGATATCTATGTGAAATTATTTTATCCTGTGAAATTATTTTTTTCTTACAGTTGGATATTAAAAATAAAGCTCCGTTGGATCTCAAAGGATAAAATAAATATTAGTCTTACTATCTACCGATGTATTACCTTTCCATTCGGGTGTACAGGTGCAATTATATCCGTCTCTGTTACTGGTACAGGTACCGCCATTAATGCAAGGATTACTGGCACAATAGTTGATAGTACAGTTTGGTGGAATCCCCATATATCCAGGATTGCAAACGCACTGTTCTCCGTGAGAATCCCTGATGCAGATACTGTTTGATGGACATGAATCAATTTCACAGACACTTCTCGAATCACAATGACGGCCAGTGTAACTGGCTGGGCATACGCAGTGATAAGAGCCAACGTCGTCTATGCATTCGCCACCGTTAGCACATGGATTCGACAGACATTCGTTCAGGTTCAACTCACAATTCTGACCCTCGAAACCGGCTGGACAGTGACATATATAGCCACCGTAATTATCGTAACATATGCCATTGTTAAGACACGGTTTAGCGAGGCATTCGTCGATATCTATCTGGCAATTTGATCCTTCATATCTAAGCGAACAATTTGAGAATATGTTTTTATATATTATATAATGTCTTTTTTAAATGGTTACTATACCCTAATGGATATATGATGATAGAGCCCTATCATACGAAAACATTTACCATTTACATGTTTCAGTACTTATTCATCTCTTGCTTTCTCTTTTTCTTCTTTTTAATATACTCTATTGTCGAGATAAGCATCGAACAATATTTTTTTTTAGTTATCGTAAGAAAACAGGAATGATGAAAAAGTACTTAAAAATCGTTTTCTTTTGTAAATTGATCAAAGCAAGTTGATTGATTAAAAAAGAAAAAAAAAAGTACCCTGTTCTATCGCATATGCAAGTGTAGTTATTGATCCCATCTATGCAACGACCACCGTGTTTGCAGGGATAAGACAAGCATTCGTTAATATTGGTCTCACAATTTTTCCCTGTCCATCCTGGCAAGCATTCGCATTTGTATTCGTTGTCAGTGAGTGCCAAACAAATGCCGTTATTTTTGCAAGGACTTTCCTCGCAAAGTCGTACACCCAATTGCGACTCGCAAGATGCACCTGTGTATCCGGGCTGACAGTTGCAAGTAAAGTCACCCTTTTTGTCTTCGATGCAGATTCCACCGTTTCGGCACGGACTATTCAAGCACGGTGAACCTGAAGAATCGTATTCGATATTATTTTACACAAGAATGATAATTATTATTAACTTATTAGAAATATTAATGGATATGGAGAAAGGCTAGTTTACGTGACATAAGAAAGTAGTTTTCAAAGGGGATGTCAAATATTAAAAATTACATTTTATACGGGATAATATTTCCATAAGCTAGAAAGCGAATTATTATGAAAGCAAATAATATCGTTCTACTACGTTTTGCTACGTTCATATATAATCTACATGATAATGTGTTACGTATAATATTTCAATGACGTCACTATGTACTACCACATGCACGTTTGCAGACAAAAATTCATTAAAGTTGCCTAAGAGAAGTCTCCTTTGAATTCCTATAAAATTCCTATCATACATTTGTTCAAGGATAGGATATGCATGCTTTAATACGAAGGTCAACGCTTCTTGGTTCAAAAAAAGATGAAATGTAATGTAATGAAATGTAACATGTTTATGATCGAAGAAATGCAAATTCCTTGCGGTTTCTAGTTTTTTTTTCTTTTTTTCTCTTTTTTTCTCTTTTTTTTTTTTCAACTCGTTTCCATTAGCGTAGAAAAATTCTTATGACATATGTGGTATTATCGTGATCTACCATTATCGATTTGACAGTTGTTGCCGGAATATCGCGCGTAACAGTGACACTCGTAACGGTCCTGCCGTGACACGCATTTACCATGCATCATGCATGGTTCGTTGCGGCAGACATCCATGGTGGAAGCTGTAGCCGATGCTATGCCACTTCCAAGGCCATTTGGACCACCTGAAAGTTGTACAAAAGAAAATCTACGATACAATCTACACGATGCACTATATACGAAAACGTTGTGCGTTTAAGGAATAAAAAACAAGGAAAGATAAGTGCGTCAATAAAATATCTACGTTTTGCTAATTGTATTTGTACTTAAGTTATAATACTCAAAAGATAACAAAGGATAACAGCGGTTGTTCGATTTTTTACGATTACATAAGAAGGGAAAAAAAAAAGAAAAAAAAAGACTCCTTTAATTTCTTAACTCGGTTGAATTATTGAACTATAAAGAGGAACATTTGAAGAGTCATCATAGATAATTAATATTCTCTCAACGATTGATTTTCTTAAGGAAAATTTCTTTTAGATTTATTATCTAGAAAATATTCATTTATACGTTTGTAAACTTGATCTAACAACATTGAACTATGGTAAGTTAATCGTAGGAATTCTGTTAGATTGAATGCGATAAACTATTTTTAAAATATCTAACGCAAAGTACTGACATACTAACCAGTTCTTATATAATACGGATTGAAAATTACCAACCATTCCCAATAAACAAGTGTATGGAAACTGTATACCAACGACAGAACATTTGATTTCATCATTCTTTTTTATGTTAACAACATTTTCTATCCTAACTTTATATTTACTTTTCTACGTTTCTAAATTCTTTTAACTACGTATTTATTTCTTATACATAAAACTCTTTCCTGACAATATTTTTTTGCAATGTATGACGTTACTTACATCCTCTGTTGTCCGAAGGACAAGGCCCGAATACAGCTCCATTGTTGATAGATTCGTTAAAAAGTATACCAGGACCCTGAAGAATGCATCCTCGAAAACTTTCACCGACTATCAGCGAATCGTTAACGTTGTAATCCGGCAGAGTTAAAATTGCAGCATTGTATGTGGCATTTGCGATAACCTGCAAACCAAATAACGTTAATTAACAATGACGTTTGTGAAATCTTGACAAATGAGTAGCTTCATGTTACAATGATCTCATCATAAACAGAAATAAACTTATCTATATCTTTTTAGAAATTTCGATAATTTTCGAAATATCAATTATAAACGCTCGTGAAATATATTACGATGAAATTCATATTCTCTCAACTCCCTGGTAGAAAAAAAAAAAAGAAAAAAGCAAGTATGGAATCTACATGAAAAATACGTATCTGAGTAGGACATTGTTCAGTGAATAGTAAAAATTAGCCGTGGTACGGATAAATGGCGACGGAATTTGTAGAAAATAAATCGTTGCGTTTGATTTCATCGTATTGCGAATTATTATACATTCTTTTACGAATTATTAAGTTGCTTTCACGTATGCACGTCGCGCAATTACATTCTTATATCTTATAACGTTATTGTATAAAGGTAGGTAAACGTATGTTTACCTGCGTATGACCAGCTGTACTCAAAGTAAGATTTCCAAGTCTGAAGAAGAGATTGACATTATGCCAGGCATTGTTTAGTAATCTAGCGTTGAGTCTTGCTTCGTGGACTTGCTGATCTACGATTGCAACGAAGAGAAGTCCATCGTGCGTGACCTCGAGACTTATGGAGTCGTCTTTGTACCTTTGAACAAAGAGCCTCCCACCTTCGCAGGTTCGAAAACTCAAGCCGCTATGCCTGTGCACGGACACGAAGGAATTTAACTTCAGAAAAGCTGATCCATTGAAATATGCCTCCCGTGGATGATCTTCGGCATCCTTTCGACGTACGTCCTGTGGTGCTTCGTGTGTGATCGCCAATAGGCTGGTCAATACTGCAAAGAATACATATTATGTAATGTCAACAAACTACTGAATAAGACGTTCAAACGTTACATTAGAAACACGAACGAAGTTAATTATAGAATAGGTGATATTTTACCGATATTTACATTATCATAGTTGTTCAAATAAAAGAGTTTTGGTAAAATTCTATTTAAATATCAAAATAAATAACAAATAAAAATTACTATTTTTATTCATTCAACATTAAAATTATAATCTTCGTTTAAGTAAAACTTTTCTTATATTATTCACTTATTAATTTTGCAAATAAAAAATATTTTCTTATTTAGATTAAAGGGAAAAACGAATAAAAAAAAATAAATAAATATGTGTATATATATATATATATACATATATGCATTCTAATTATAATCGTTGAAAAAGAAATTCATTTTAGTCGAACGTAGCTGTGGGCTGTTTGACGCAAGAGAAAAGAAAATTCAATGAGAATGCTCGTCATATAGTTAAATAGTCGTTAGATAAAAACATACTTACAAGTGTGGAAAAATCAATAAAAAAAGAAGTTATAGCTTGGTGGGGAGGAAAGCAAAGTAAGTACATATACTCCGTTTGGCTAGGTACATACATACACATATATGTATTAGATTTACTGACGTAACGGGTCTTCTGCAATGACCGATAGATGCACACACAGACGTATGTAGGTATATGGACGCACGCATGAACGTCGAAGATCGTTGTCTTCGAGGTGCGAGCCTTACGATATTCCGCATAGAGAACGTTTGAGTCACGCTATCGAGATAAATGATAACAAAATGGAAGTCCAAAAGGAACCTATAACTAAAACCAGTTATAATGCACTCCTTTGTGTAAGAACGATGTTGAAATAATATTAATTTCCTATTGCAAATTGATAAAACGATATTATCACGTTTATAAAAAAAATTATTAAAAAGAGAATTTATTAATTGATCATCTCTAATCGTCTGAATTATTATTATCTTCGAAATTTATTTCCTTTCTAATTGGTCTGCAATTAATTCCTTCGTTACTATCGACATCGTGTGGTTTATTATATTTTTGAATATATGCTTTAAATCTCGTTAGAAGGATATTCATTAGACCATGCAGATTGTATATCGTAATATCTAATATAAAAAGATATATATATATATATATATATATATATATATAACGTTGCACTGGTGATCGTTGAAAATGAAATATAATTAATTGTTCGTTACTCTGGTACGTTTCATTTTCATACAATGAACGAATTCGTTAAGATGAAGTCAGATTGTGCTATCCTAAAGCATAATTATTTGATGTAAGATATAATTGAAAAATAAAAATATGTATATATATATATATGTATATAAGTATATTTGTTAAAAGGTAAAAGATAGACATGAGTCATCGAGTCCGAAGACACGTCGAAAACGGCGTTCCGTAATCATGATTCATAACGTGTGAGCGTTTGAGTTTCCGTATCCTTTTCGCATGAGCGCACGCGATACGTTCAAGGATGGTCATGAGAGGAACGACATCACCTGTCTAGCATACAAAAAATTAACAGGTAGAAACAATAAGACGTCTTGATGCGTACATATGTATAACAATGTGTGTGTAAGTATGTATATGTACGGTCTAAACGTTCACTGTTCTCCTTATAATGTTCTCTCTCATCTGTCTCTTTCTCTTTCCATCTTTTTTCTCTTCCCTACTCCTCCTTTTTACGTATCTATCAATGATTTACCGATTCCCTTACGAGAATGTAAAAAAAAAACGGCAACGAATGAAAACAAATGTTGTAAATTAATATATGTTCCTTAAAGATGGAAATGATGATAAATCGTGTCCTTGAATCTCTCGACTCGACTTACTAAGAAAACAATTTAAGTGGCACGATATTTCTTCTTCTTTCCTGTTTTGCTATTTCTTTTCTCTTTTGTTTTTTTTTCCTTAATAAAACAAAGATAACGCCTTAAATATGATACTACATACGGGATTAAACTTTTAACACGTACATGTAGGACTTATTTTATTTTAATCTGAACAAATTAATCGATGTATTGAATAATAGTGTCAAGAAAATTTATGATAGATAAGATGATCCATGACTACGGAGCTATGTAAATTACAATCAAGTATGTTGATTCTTTAATAAATTATACGAGACAAAAAAAATATTTGAAGTCCATTGATGGATTTGGTGCTCAGGCTCGTTTTGTATATAAAAGGATGTTATAGAAAATTGTTTCATTGGGTATGATGCTTTAACAAAAAAAAAGAAAAAGAAATATGACGTTTCAAAATCCGATAAAAAGTCATTTGCTACTTGAACTGTGGTTCATTTAATGAGCATTATTTATTCAAGTCCTTTGAAAATTGTCAAGTTTGACGTTTAAAAAGATCACGAAGAAAACACTTAATCGATGATATTCCGTTTCCAGTCATTGCAATATAGTACTCGAACGGTAATCTTTTGCTTCGAAAAGATTCAAGATACTTAAAAGTAACAATGGACCATAAGTGAGACGACATGGCTCGGAGTCGACAGAAGCATCGAAGTCTCCATCATAACGAAGCGTAAACACTAGAAATTTTTACCGCGGAGAAATTGCCTCTGGTTTATGGCATATAAAATGAAACGATTGATCGTGCCTTATACAAAGAAATAGAAAGTTTTGACAAAAGAAAAGAAAATACTGAGAATATTCTATAAAAACAAATAAAAACTTGAGACAAATTTATCTACATATATATTTTCATCTTATTTCTTGTTTTCTCGCTTGTTATTATTTTTTTGTTTTTTTAATCGATGAATTTTCGTTTCTTTTTTTTTGTAACTATTAATATTTATTCACGAATTCCTTACGATTTCTTTTTTTATCACTTTGGAACGTATGCAAAAATGGCTCATTGGTATGTATGTGGTACATACTTGCATATGTACGTAACTAATAACGCAATAGGTGTGAGAGAAACGCCCTCGTGCCAGTATTCGGGATTTATGGATGTTACGATCGTCAGGTTTTCCCACGTACGAATGCGAGCTTCTATATACATGAGATTACGAAAGGTTTGTACATTCGTGACAACTTCATAAACAATGTATACATACGTTGAAAAGTCGTCCAATTTTACTGTCAATCACGAGTAAATTTGTCGTTCATGATCCATCGTTCGACATAAATGGATTAGTTAGCGATTTGTGCTGTTGTTATTATTATTATTATTATTATTATTATTATATCATCTATCACTTATAAACTTTTATTATTTATTTTTTATAAAATCGATAATAAATATAAAAAAATAATTATTTTTTAATATTTGACGGTACATAATTAATTCGAAAAAGAACATTTGTACGTATAATTTGTTTTTGTTAACTAACCATGACATAGGGAATCACAAGAAATCTATGCATTCTGACATAAGAAATTTGAGATAAGTCACTTTTACAACAAACATAGATTTATTTTATTATATAGCTGATCGTTAATGATCGAAAAGATTTTATTAAATATAGAAACGTAAGCACACGTAAGAAAATATTAAGTTTACTTAGCAATCTCTTTGTGATAATGCCGATAGAGTCTATCTTGAAGCATATTATTACGAATTTAATAAGAAAAATTTTCATCTTTCTCGAGATCCCGTGGTAAAAGACTTCCTTGAATTTCACCTTCCGGGCTACGCCCCTATTTAAATGGAAGAAAATTCCTATCAGAATCTAAAGTACCGGTTCTTTGATCAGCTTATGGATCGGTGAATGGATCTTCCATTCATTTCGACAGTGGTTCTCATGAGCCTTAAATGCTTTGCCCGTAACCGCCATGAGATGTGGGGATAATATTATTATCGTCGATGGGAAAGTAGAGCCGTGATCATGAAATACAATGAACCGATGTAAATCCAATCTACTTTAGCGGTATTTTTTAAAAAGAGCAATGACCTTGCGACACATTAGATATTATAAATCACTATATTAAATTATCATTTCTATGATATTTATTTGATCGGTACTTTTATGAATTAATGGCAAATATTTTGTAAAACAAATGATCAGTTTAATGATTAGTACAAATAATTATGTGTCGATATATTTGAAATATTAATCAAATGTTTAAAAATACTGACTCCGATAAAACTTTTTATTATTTAGGAGAAAAATTAACAAAAACATTTTGAAAGTAATTGTAATATCTTCGCACGTTATATCATATCAATATGTAAATATATTAAGAAAAATTCTATTCTTTTTATATAAAGTTTATAATACAAATGCGTTAGGTAATTAGATCAAATATAATCGAGAGATTATCCAATGCAATTTGATTGCATAGCAATAACGGCCGCGTTCCAAATAGCGTTCTATCGCAAGAGAAATAATACGAGGCTAAATGCGATTGTCCAATCACGTGATTATTCGATTCAGTCGCTGATCGAAAACCGCATCTCTTTAATTACTACACAGCTTCTCTCTCTCTTTCTCTCTCTCTATACATATATATATATATATATATATATATATATACAAGGTGTCTAATTTTAACAGATATGGCTAAATATCTCCAATTCTATTGGTTTTTTACAAGCAAAATATTTAAAATAAAAGTTAAGTTCTGTGGAAAAATTCATTGCATCTATTTCGTAGAAGATGCTGTTGTTAAGATACGAAACTCATGACGTATTTTTTTTTTTTTTTCCTAATGAAAATAGATATTTTTCAGTATACTTCTTCATCGATATTTCATCGAGTTATAACGCCTTGAATTTTGACAAACATTGTAATCGGAATAATCCTATCAATTTTCTCCATATAAGTCCGATAACAAATGATAGATCAATGAATTTTTTTTCTTGTTTCTTGTTTTATTTATTTATTTATCTTTCTTCTAAAAATCGTAATAATTAAAAGTACTCATAAAGAATATATCTACTGATTATACAGCTTGTTAAACTTCGACATACTATAACTCGATGAAATATCGTTGAAAAGGTAGACACTGTAGGTACTCGT